TGGACAGTTGTAAGAACAAAGGATTATTACATCCCCTCCAGGGTCTGCCCAGCACCAAGAAGTCTGCGACACCAGCTACATCCCCTCCTTTTAGTATAAAAGAAGCCTGAATTCTAACTGCGGTAAGATGGTTCTTTGGGATACCAGTCCACAATCATCTTGGTCGGCTGGCTTTCCAAATAAAGTTGCTATTCCTTGTCCCAACACCTCTTCTCTTGATTTATTTCTTTATTGGACATGCAGCAAGCAGTGGGAGCTTGGACTCTGGACTTGGTACTACTTCTTTGGGAAGGGCCAATATGGCCATCCGGAAGGCAGGATTTGAACAACTTAATGAAAGCTATTCAGTTGGAAGTGAGTAAGGACTTAAATAAATATATGTCATGGCTTATTCTGTACTTTCCTATTATATTTGTACATATCCATCATCTCATTTGACTGTCATTCCAACCCCTTGCAATAGGAAGGCAGCTGTCATTATCATCCCTTTTTAACTTAAAGGAAAGATTAGGGCTCGAGTTTGTGTCTTGAGCCTAAGGCTAAGTGTTTACTATATGGCCAGCAAACACAGGAATACCAGAAAATACAAAGAAAAAAGAATCCATTTCTTCTGCTCCGAGGGGCTTTGTAGGCTTATTACAGAGGCAATACCAAAACATATGAAACTCAGTCATGTAACAAGAAGTATGATTTTATGAAAAGAGAGAGATCACCGCCGGATTGTCTGGCCAGTGATTTTAAGATTTTAAGATTTTTAAGGCTGTGGGGCTTGAACAGGCTTTAAATGACAAAGAGAAAAGCCAAAGGACACCTGGATGTGTAAATCCCTTGGGTCTGCATGCCTTCAGGTAGACAGCCCTTAAAACAGGTAACAGGATGGCATCCACTATATCAACCACCGTCATCATCTTACCCATGCACTCACTCATTTTTTTCTTCACTGACATCCTCGTGCTAGTCCTTATTCTAAGCACTATGATGAGAGAGAAGGCTGGTGACACAGGTAGGGACCAATCCAGGATTTCATCATTGGAATCTAACTTAAAAAGTGGACGAATTAGCACCACTTAGCATTTCACAGGCGAGACAGCCATGGGACAGTCATTTCTCCATGCCCTCCCTTTTTCCTTTTGGGCATCCTGTCCTTCAGATCAGGTCTCTACTTCTGGTTTGGGGAATATTTTTTTCAAGGAAGGAATAGTTCTGGCTCCCTGAACCAACACATTCCTGCCACGAGTCTCCTCACTGCATCGGTCACTTCTTGATTCCTTATGCTGTAGATCAAAGGGTTCAGCACTGGTGAGAAAAAGGTGTAGACAACAGACAATGCCCGGCCCTCTTCTGGGGAGTAGCTGGAGCTGGGGCGAAGGTAGATGAGGGTGCAACATCCATACTGCAAGAGAACCACCATGATGTGGGAGGAACAAGTGGAGAAGGCCCGGCGCTTTCCCGAGGCTGAGTTCATCCTCATGATGGTGGCCACGATGCAGCCATAGGAGACGCAGATAAGGAGGAAGGAGATGGCCACAGCGGCCACACCGATGACATAGAGGGCTGCCTCATGCACGCGAGTGTCTGCACAGGCCAGGCGTATAACTGCAGGCATGTCACAGAAGAAGTGGTAGATTTCGTTGTGGCCACAGAATGGAAGGTGGCAGATCAGAATGGTCAAAGGCAATGCCAACAGGAATCCCAGCCCAAAAGAACCTAAAGTCATCCTCCCACAGAGCTGCCAGCTCATGATGCGGCTGTAATGCAGTGGATGACAGATGGCCACGTACCTGTCATAGGCCATGACAGCAAGCAAGACACAGTCAGATCCTCCGAGAAGGATGAAGAAGAACATCTGAGCCCCACAGCCAGGGAGAGAGAGAAGCAGCTTCCCCATGGAAAGGACACCAGCCAGAGTCAGGGGAGCAATGTTGGTGGCGTGGGCAATCTCCAGCATGGCCAGTGCAAAAAGGAAGAAGTACATTGGGGTGCGGAGAGAGGGATCTCGCCAGACTGTGAGCCCAATGGTGATGTTCCCAGTGAGGCTTCCTAAGTACAGCAGCAAGAAGGCCACGAATATGAGGGAAGCCACTGTCGGGTCTGTTGAGAAGGGGCGGAAGTGGAAGCACACCGCTCCCGTCTGGTTTTGCTCTTCCATCGGCCCTGGTACCAGGAAGGAAGCCGTGGGCAGAGTGACCGTCCTGCATCCTTGAGCCTGGCGCAGGTCCAGCTGTGTTAGAAACAGTCTGCAATCGCTGAGTCCCTGCCCTTACTGCTTCCTTCGGAGTTGGGTTAGCATTATCTTTCCTCCCCCATGACTTAACCCACTAGCTGTGTGACCTTGGACAAGGTACGGATGTCATCATTCTCCTCTTAGACATGGGAAGGGGGTGACACCCACCTTGGAGAGCTGGTGTCTGAAAGTGCCAAGCCCCACACCAGCCCTGCAGTAGGTTCTCAAATGGGTTTCCTTTCAATTTCACTTTTTGCTTGATCACCACTTCTCTTTTTTTTTTAAGCAAACCCACCTGACCATTCTCAAACCTCTTCATTCCTGTGAATGTCCAATCACCCCTAAGAACACCTTCAAAGTACGTATTTGTACAAAGAGCCTATGATTCTCATATCAAGCCTAGAAGGCTGGCAACACAGGTGTTTCCTTTACCTGCTTTACAAATGTGGAAACCGGAAGCCCAGATACACTGCCATTTGCCCCATTCCCTTAACTCACAATTTTGGTATCATTTTTTTTTCTTAAACCTTCAACTATCCAATTTTGTTCTGTTCTACCATATACCGACCCTACTCTTGTTTCACTTTTCTTTCACACATCCGCCTTCATTTGCATTATTACCGTGTTCACCCTAAATAGGGCTTTCATTCCCTCACATCTGGTTCACCCCTTCCCCTCCCCAATTTATCATACTTTTAGATTAACCACTTTTAATTACTTTAAAAATCATATTACTCTGACCCTAAACTTAAAAAAGCAAAGGCACCTCAACTTAGTCAATTATTCCTCAATAAAGCTAAAACAAATTATAAAGCAATCTCTTATTCTAGTGATATGACCTACAATTATCACGAAATATTTTTATAAGTGAAACTAACACAATTTACCTGAGGTATAACTTCAGGAAATCCCTCAACAACCATGCTCCACTGCCCCACCTCAGCCACCCCAGCTTTGGTCTAAGTTGCTCAGTCCTTACGCACATGACCCTTAAATTGTGTTGTTTTAATTTGCTGCAAGGTAGACTTGAGCAAGGTAGACGCCACTAGCGTCTTGTGTTTGTAGATTACCTTTTCAAGGACGTTCAAATGGCCAAAGGTAGCAGCCTGCAGAAGGGTTTTTGCGTTCATCTCCTGGGGGATTCTCAGAGAGGCCAGGCCACTACGAAAACACTTTCCTGCTAAAACAGAGGGATGGAGCCAAAAATGTGCAAATTAAAACATTCAACCACCATTGTTTTTTGGTTTAACAAGTGAACCAAGTTTTAACATTGTGTTTTCTTTTGGTTTAATTTTTAACAATGATTCTCAGCACTGGCAAAGTCTGGAGAAAGGAGCAGCGCCAGGCTCACTGGAGGAAAGGGAAAAGGCTCAACGCTGTAGGAAAATAATAATCTTTTTCAAGGCTCACATTTTGTCAAAACTGACAGTTTTCTAGGCTGAGTAATGCATATATAAGCATTCATTACACTACCCTCTTAATTTGTGTACTTTTGAAATTTTCCAAGTAAAACATTAGCGTTTGACTTTAGTTAGTAAACTTCAGGAGTCTAAAATTAGAAATGAGTCTAAAACAGAATGACAATGACAACAACAGAAATCTTTATACACAACATAAAAATCACAGCATAATTTTAATAGGTAATGTGAATGGAAATGAAAGAAATAATGAATAATAGGGAAATAATAGGGAATAATGAAAGAAAATGACTTAGTAGAAAATGCTCAATTCAGTTAATGAAATAGTATGCAATTGTTTAAAATTATATTTATAAAGACAATGTAATCACATGAAAATATTTGTGATGTAATTCTAAACAGAAAGTGAGGTTTAAAAAATTACGATCACTATACTGCAGGGAAAATGTTGTCTTTGTGTGACGAGCCTAAAAGTTTTTTCACCCTGTACTGTATTTTCTAATATTATTTATGTATATTTTTTTTATTGAAATGTAGTCAATTTACAATGTTGTGTCAATTTCTGGTGTACAGCATCATGCTTCAGTCATACATGAACATACATACATTCATTTTCATATTCTTCTTCACCAAAAGTTACTACAAGATATTGAATATA